TTTGATTAGGACTAAAATAAAACTCTGATCCAATTCATGTCATGCAACAGAAAACGCTAAAGTGTTTTGATTAGAACTAAAATAAAACTCTGATCCAATTCATGTCATGCAACAGAAAACGCTAAAGTGTTTTGATTAGAACTAAAATAAAACTCTGATCCAATTCATGTCATGCAACAGAAAACGCTAAAGTGTTTTGATTAGAACTAAAATAAAACTCTGATCCAATTCATGTCATGCAACAAAAAACGCTTAAGTATTTTGATCAGAACTAAAAGATTTTATCTGGTCTGATATATGTTAATAATTTTCCTGGCATTATAAGGATCATGCATACTTCACAAAAACGTTTCTATTTCTATATGTACACACGTACGTTACTGTTGCTAATTTTTCATACTTGAATGCTTTACGTTCACCTGCTGCGATTGGCATAGAAACGTTTAAATACTGAAAATGATGCGTAGCTGCTTGGAAACTTCACTTCTTCGATGATAAAGAAAATCAAAATAGAAAAAAAAAAAAAACAACAACAACAAACAGATAGGCACCTCTTTGCCGTTTATAAACCAATGGACTATGGCAGCTGGTTGAGACGGTGAAGACCTGCAAGTGACATTAACGTTGTCTCCTACGTCATATTTCGGTTGGATGCCTTCGATGTCAGGGCCATCGTGTGGTATAACTGCAAACGAAGAGCAATACATTTATCTGAATGCTGAAAATACATTCAGCTAAACAACAAAGGCTTTGCATTATTATTATATTACATATAACACTTTATTTCTACGGTAAACAAATAAAGTTAACTTGGTGATAGCATAAATCAACAAACATTACAATAACATTAGAAAGAGAAAAATTCGATACTTACTTTGCAAAAATAAAGAGCAGTTTATTTCATACATACGAAAGTAATAAAAATTATGTCATGCATAAAGTTCCAAAATCTCAGATATATACACAAGTATTATTTACATAAGTATCGAAGAAGCACATAAAACATTTTGTTATAATATATAGTTAACTGAGTGAAATAATATTTATAACAATAAAAGGGCGAATCTGTGTCTGTGTGACCGACATAACTCCAAAAGAAAAGACCTAGAAACCTGAAATTTTGCACACATACTAAGTGGACTCTGAGGGTCTGCACCTGGGTATTATTACTTATCCACGTGGATACACGCTTACGCATCTTTTTTTGAGGTAAGCCAGTAAAAAAAACACATAGAAAAGAATATGTAACCATTATAGCTCCAAGAGTAAAGAACCTAGAAAACTGAAATTTTGCACCCATACTAAGTGGACCCTGAGGGTGTACACCTGAGTATTTTTACTTGTCTTATCCACGTATGTGCGCGTATCTTTTTAATGAGACAAACTAGCGAAAAACAATACAGAAAAGAAGTGGTTCCTTATGTTACAAATAGGAATTACAGACAGTTTGTTTGTTTGTAATTAAGCACAAAGCTACACAATGGGCTATCTGTGTTCTGCCCACCACAGGTATCGAAACCCGGATTCTAGCATTGTACGTCCGCAGACATACCGCTGTGCCACTGGGGGCTTCACAGACACACATACACGTATGTATGTGCGAGTAAGCGGGCGCGTCTTTGTGACCGTCATAGCTCCAAGAAAAAATAATCTAGAAACCTGAAATTTTGCACCCATTCTAAGTGGACCACGAGGGTCTGCAACTGGGTATTATTACCTGTCTTATACACGTGCGTGCACGCATGCGTATCTTTTAAATGAGGCAAGCTAGCGAAATACCATATGTAAAAGAAGTGGTGCATCATATAAAAACTTCTAATATGTAGAAAAGCCAGTGCGTTTTGATAACAATGCGTTCCAGCAATGGACTTTATGTCATGTTGTTTAATTACAAAATTGGAAAAAATATTCGTTGTTTTCCATTTAATAGGCTCCGTTAATTAAGGAGGTTTGTTTTTATTATTTAAGTTTAAAATCGGAGAACAATTCAGAGGGAAGGTTACCTTTATAAACAGGTCACATCCAATAAAGGAACAACAAAAGTATATAAGTTATGCTTTTATAGTTAAATACACACACTGATATAGTCATCTAGAATAAATCAACCTAATAACCCGAGCGAAGCCAGGTACTTTCGCTAGTACTGAATATTATTTACGCATTTTTATGAAACAGGAACTATACTTGTGCTTTGAACTCTTTTATAAGATATACGTTAGTTTCCTCTCAACAGGAGTCCTAGGAGCCTATACACAACACTGATTGAGTTTCAAAATATGTCACCCCAAGTGGCACAGCGGTATGTCTGCGGACTTAAAACACTAGAAATCGGGTTTCGATACCCGTGGTGAGCAGAGCGCAGATAGTCCATTGTGTAGCTTTGTGCTTAATTACAAACATCAAAACATGCCCCATTTGAAAAACTTTGTAACATTTTGTGTGAAACAAGCATTCTTCACCATTTGAGGTTTTAGTGTGTCTATAATAACGTTAAATGTTGATACCCGTGTTGGGCAGAGTACAGATAGTCCATTGTGTAGCTTTGTGCTTAATTACAAACATCAAAACATGCCCCATTTGAAAAACTTTAAAACATTTTGTGTGAAACAAGCATTCTTCACCATTTGAGGTTTTTGTGTGTCTATAATAACGTTAAATGAAGACATATAGCGATAATGATAATAATAATTGGATCGCTTTATAAGAATAATTTTGGAGTTCATAAGAATTTTTTTAAACAGTCAGAATGCACTTTTGTATTCTGCAGCCATATTTAAATGTAAAAATTCAAGTGTTCATATAAATTACATAAATATCCTGAAAATATTTTTATGAAAGCTATCCAAGGCACTGTTAACAGATTCGCTATTGTTTTGACGATGGTTTGCCTTGAAAGTATTTAAGATAGAAAATTAACGACAAAGAAGATGTTAGATGGAGCCACAGTATAACACCAAAAAGTTCTTTCCATTCTTATATGTGTACAGTTTTAGTTTGACGTGAATTTCTCTGAGCCGTGTACACAACGTTGAACTCTGTACGTCAGTTAGAATTCGTATACATGGTTTTCCTATCCTAAGAGCTATCTTTTTCTTCTTATCAGACTGAAGTTATCCCTTTATAGTAACACACAACAGCTAAGATAAGACAATGTGAGCTGAATGACAAAAGAAACAAATACTTTCACTTTAGATTGTATCTTTATATTCTATAGGAAACGTTATCAACAGTGATTAGTAAAAGGGCACATTTGCCGACTGTTTTCTTGTGCGGTACAAGAAACGCTTGGGTTCGTGACTGTGATACCACTTGGGGCTGCTTTTACACGTTTCTCTGTTTACATAGCATACATTGAAGGCAGTACTGTCATTAGCAACGGAAACTTACTCTGACGAAAAGCTCTCGACTCAACAAAGATGATAGCACAAACATTTCACAGTACCAAAGTGTAGCGAGTGTCGAACAGTCAGTGTGAGCTTCTCGACGTTTGAGTGTTTTATACCGACAAGAAATCACGTGAATACTAAAGAGACCCATCAATTACTTGCTTTTGTAGTTAAGCCGATGAGAGTCACGTTGTTACCTTAACACAAAAGGGAAAGTATTAAACGTTGCAAAGTGTTGCTCTATCTGGAGAAAAATAAGAATATTTAATAGCTTCTAAAGCTTCTAGCCAGTGGCGTCCATATTTGATACCGTCACAATCTAACTTAGTAATATCACCACAGTTGATTTTGTTTTTACAATATTGTTTATCAACTAATTATGTTTAGTATGTCAATAGAATCCTTTACAGCTTCTTATCTTAATAGATTATCACATAACTCATTTCTTATTTCATGAATGTCCTTCTTTTACAAAGTATACAAGAGTGTTATATACCATGTAATTTCCAAATACACAAAATAAAAGAAGTCAGTTTTCCAAATAACACCTGAATTACAGCTTGCATGATGTCGGTTCTCTGATCTGTTTTTTAGTATTAAATTGTAGCTGAAAACGAAACACTAACTGAATAGAAAAAGTTTTACATCCACCTTATAGAAGACAATTTTATTAAAGAACTGTAAAGCATGATAAGACCTGTGTACACCACATTTCT